TTCTATTCTTTTGTTGATTAAAAACAGTATAACTGCATTTCAACTTTATAATATGTGTAGATAACAAACTGAATTTAATAATAAGAAGGAAGATGATAGATAGATAGATAGATAGATAGATAGATAGATAGATAGATAGATAGATAGATAGATAGATAGATAGATAGATAGATAGACAGACAGACAGACAGACAGACAGACAGACAGACAGACAGACAGACAGCCGGATGGATGGATGGATGGATGGATGGACATATAAACAGACAGATGAATGGACGTTGCTCTGATGGCTATGACTTACCTGAGCTCCAGGAGTGCCCGGGGTGCCTGGAATACCCTGAAGAAACAAATGACAAAAGGACAAGGTGTGTTAAAAGCAGTCAGAGAAACAGGACAGAGGTGCTGAGAAGATTTCAATGAGCAGATCCAAGAGAATAATGATCTGCTCATGATGAAAAAAGGGTAGATAAGAACGGTTTTATTATTGGCTTGTGCTGTGTCAGCCTGAGCAGTACAGTATAGGGAAAACTGAATGACAGAAAATTATGATTCTGTTTGGTATATTGTTCAAACTGAAATAACCTGGCCTAACCCCAACCCTAACCCCAACCTGCTTGAAATTACACACTGAGTTATAAATGGCTAACCAATACATAAATAAAAACAATAGGAAGAGTAAATTGTACATTTTCATTTTTGGGGTAAGCTATCCCCTTTAAATGTTGTATGTTTTTTTTTTCCACTAGCCTGAAATAACATGTCCTGACCAGCTTGAAATATCACATTTATTTACAAATAGCTGACAGATAAATAAGAAAAACATTTCTATAGTGTCTTATGGCTAAATGTACAGTAGTCATGTAGTTTACTCACATCTCTCCCGTCTCTGCCATCTTCTCCTGCTGGACCACGAGGCCCTTCAGGACCAGGAGAACCAGGAGGACCAGGGATTGGTTTGGGATCCGGCTGGATTCGAGGGAAAAGTCAAAGTAGGAAAATTATGAGTAATTTACATACGCAATAAATATGCAGTAAATATAAACTGAAGGCTGCAAATAATATCTTTTTACTACGGTAACACACACACACACACACACACACACACACACACACACACACACACACACACACAAGCAAAATCATTGCTTTTATCTTCTTAGTTAGCTTAAATATTAATTATTGAGTCAATGAAGTACACATTTAGCAACTGTATTCTTTGGTTAACTTCAATTTGTTATAAAAATAACACATTATTTATGTAGCAGCGTTAATAATCTCTAGCTTATGTAGATTTGTGAATGACATTTCAAAATCTCGATAGTAGAAAACAAAAAAACACAAACTTTATCTAAAATTAAAACTGCACGGAATTAAAACGTAATATAAAGTATTGTGTGTGAGTGTTAAACGGCAAAAAGACCACCAAACGTTAGCTAGCTAGCTATTATCGTATGAACGCAATCTGACAACCCGTCAAAATAAAAGTTGGATTTAATTTGAAGTTAAAAAACAGGAAAGAGAAATATAACCGTACTATTTTTGTACAGAAGAATGTACATCTTAAAATAATAATACTAGTAATAATAATAATAATTTTAAATATAAAAACAGTTTAAAAATCCAAGTTTAAAAGTCTTTAATAAAAGTATTACTATTAATTAAATAATATTAAATACTATTAACTTAGTTATAATTTAATTTAGGTCTAGTAAAAGTAATTTAAAAATATGTAATCATTTTTATTATTTAACAATAGATATTTAATTAAAAATTAAATACTTTTAATAAATATTAATCACTTAAATGATAAAAAAATAAATGATTTTAATAAAAAATGTATTTATTTTAAGTCCAGAAAAGTAATTAAAACATTAAATACAGAAACATTAATCGGATTTCATATCAGAGCCTCTACATATAAATACATAACAGCTTTATGTTGATTGCAGTAAGTATAGCAGATAGCAATGATTAAATTCAGCAACAAAGCATTATTTGCTAAAATGATCATTAATAAAAAAGAAAAAACAAATTAAATACCTCAGCATTGGCAAACATCTGAAGAAGCAGGAGAGAGAGAGAGAGGGAGAAAGAGAGAAAGAATTAAGATTATTGCAGTTAGTGAAACTGAAACCCCTTCACCAAAGAGAAAGCACACCTGTAGATAGCGCCACAACATGCGGCCAAAACAGCGCCCCCCGCAGGCCAACTCGTCAAAAACAAGCAAATGCATCATGTTGATAAGTCTTTAGGCAACTAGCGTTTCTAGACTGCCATAGCAATAATGCCAACATTTGTAAGCCTTAAACTTGGTTATGCAGCACATATATTAGAATAAAATAATAACATCGATTATTTGTGATAACAAAACAGTCTACACTGTAAAAAATATCAGTAAATTAGCAGTTTTCAGGTATTTTTTGGTTCATGTTTTTATTTTTCCCTGTTTATTTATGATTTTGCATTGCATTATGGGAGCTTGATGTTCCTTCCAACAGCTTTTAACCTTGAAAAGTTAGAAGAAGTGACTTTTATGAACATTTTTAATAGTTTAAAGTGATATATCAGCTATGTCGGTGGTTTATATCATGCTACGAAAAAAACTTGTAATAAGCTGCCAGTTCATTTTCTGTTATTTTACAGACTAATTTCTATATATATTATTTCTTATACATTATTTCAAACCACTAAAATATCAATAAAAGTCCCTCCGTTAAACTGTAGAGTTGAATTTTCAACAATAACAGTCGACAGAGCAGACATCAAGCTCCCATAAACGGAAAATACTTGTGAAATACAGAAACTGTTAATTAATTGATTTTTTACAGTGTAAGGTGATCTTGAACTTTGAAGCTAATGATACCAGACAAACGTATTTTTACATATATAGGTGAAAAAACTATAACAAACTCAGACTATACCCTGGTAGTGCATCACATCAATTAGAACGAGCATAATTTGAGACTACAATTACACAATATATAATTGTACAATTGTAATATCAGTAATTGTAATATCGTCTTGGATTGCGAGTTTAAGAAAATGGTGACCACATTTTTAAAATATATATATACACAAGATATTTCCTAGTTGAGTAGATACAGTAAAACACTAAGGAGTTTTTTTTTATTTTTCTTTAGCTATGTACTAAAAGAGAGGAACAACACATTTTTGTAGTCAACATTATCTATAACCCTCGCTGGTTTTAATCAAATTGACCAAAAATCACATTTTGAAAAATAGTCAATGTTAGCTTCTTATACAGAGCAAACAGATTCCAAGTAGTAATCTGAAAAAATTGTTACCAAAATTAAATAAATAAAATAGTTATAAGAAGACACTTACATTTTTATATTGCATTTTTTTATGTTTAGCATGTGACACTTGATAAATTGCCAACTGAACAGTACGGCTGCTATATTTAATTTGAAACTTGCTTTTAGATCCAATGTAGTTCGGTTTTGGGTGCTAGGATAGTTAGCTGTACAAGATAAAACAGGAAGTTATAAAAGCGAGGTTACCTCAGCCAGAGGAAGTTCGGTACAGCTCTCTCTCTGAGCTCTCTTCGGGTCACAATGAATCAGCATCCACTGCAGCTCAAACTGGAAAAAAACGCAACAGAGATGAGTTATTTGTTATGGAGTAAATATAACAAGTTACATACAGTCAAAACAGGAACAAAACAATTTTTTTAAATGTCTGGCGGTAAATCGGACTAATGGTTTACTATTTTAGATCCGTTAGGATTACCTAAATGATTTACATTTGCTAAATGACAGAATAATGAGATTTTTTTTTTTTTTGAGAATTGTTTATTCCTTTTTAGACAGTCAAACGTTTACAAACATTTCCTTGTTTTTTTTTTTTGTTTTGTTTTTTTTTTTTTTTTTTTTGCTTTGCTTTTAATTTTGGTCAAATGTTTTGGGTATCCTTCCACAAGCTTCTCACAATAGTTTGAAGGAATTTTGGCCCATTCCTCCTGACAGAATTGGTGTAACTGATTCAGATTTGTTGCTCGCACAAGCTTTTTCAACTCTGCCCACAAATTTTCTATTGGATTGAGATCAGGGCTTTGTGATGGCCACTCTAAAACATTCACTCTGTTGTTCTTAAAGCACATTTGAACTAATTAGGCAGTATGCTTAGGGTCATGGTCTGTTCGGAAGACCCATTTGTGGCCAAGTTTTAATTTCCTGGCTGATGTCTTGAGATGTTGCTTCAGTATTTCTACATAATCTTCTTTCTTCATGATGCCGTCTATGCTGTGAAGTGGACCAGTCCCTCCTGCAGCAAAACAGCCCCACAACATGATGCTGCCGCCCCCATACTTTACAGTTGGGATGGTGTTCCTAGGCTTGTAAGCTTTCCCCTTGTCCGCCAAATGTAACACTGGTCATAACGGCCAAACAGTTCAATCTTATTTCCATCAGACCACAGGACATGTCTCCAAAAATGAGTCTTTTTCCCTGTGTATTTTAGCTAAATGTAATCTGGCTTTTTTGTTGATTCTGGCTTGTTGATTTTCCTATGTTGTCACACAAGGAAGCAGTGTGTTTGGGGTTTTTCATAAATACTGTAACAGACTTTATTTGATTCTGTGATGTGTACATTTCTAATGCTTACTACGTAAGTGTTAATGGTTCTATGGTCATACACAGGAACTGCAGGTACTAAGAATTGTAAGAGTAAACTGTTCAGAATAAATGAGAGCTTGGCAGAGTTTAGTCGGCGCCGTTTGTTGTTTTGTATGTTTCAGTTTTTGGTTGTACGCTCGGTTACTATTCTACAGTTGTGCCTCCAATTAACTCAAATGTTGTCAATTAGCCAATCAGAATCTTCATAACCTTGACATCATAACCTGAGCTTTTTTAGAGGCAGAATAATCTTACTGTATGTAAACTTGACTTTCAAAAAAAGTTATAACAATTTGTCAAAAATATCTCTCTCATTATTCTGCTATTAAGCAGAACAGAAACAAATTTGATAATCCTAACTTACCTAAAAGAGAAAAAATTTAGTCACATTAACATTTTTTTAAAATATGGTTATTTGCCTTTTTATGCAGTGTATGTAAACTTCTGCCTTCAACTGTACCATCAGCCAATTTTGTTTCTGGCAGCTTTACAGTTATTGTATAATTAAGTGTGCAAAAAGTTGAACAAAAAATCTAAAAGTTGAACAATATTTCTTTCACAGCCTTCCTTGCTCATATTTACCAAGAGATGCCAAGGACACTGTGTTGTATAATGCAATTAATGTCAAGCAAGCTGAAGCAACGAGACAAAATTTCCCGAAAAAAGCTATATCAGATTTACGTTTCCAGTATGGGGTGTGTGACTGACAGCACTGTGAGATTCATTTTGATCTGCTATCTGGCCAGTAAGTGACAGTCAGGTCAGAGGTCCATCAGTGTGACAGTAACACCCGTCTGACACACACTGACAGTCTCATTTATCACAGGTGGAGGCTGTAACGGGCTGATGGATTGGACAGCTGAAGGTTGACAGTAACATTCATCACGTACTGTACAGATTCAGAGGAATATAAAAATCTAATGCAAACACTGATGAATCAGTCCTTGCAGACAGGGGCAGAGGATAATATTTTTTTAAATACAAGAAAGTCCTTAATCATATGCAAAATCTTAAAAGATCTAAACCTTATCTTAAAATAGTGTTTGAAAAATTGATAATGGAAATAAAGGAACAGTAAGTCATTGTTTTATACACTTATAAAATGACTTTTGCTGCTTGTTCAGACTACTTATTCAAAATGAGTTGAAACAACAAAATTCTTAAGGGTTTTTTAGGAAAACTGAATTGTTTTATGTTCAATCCACTTAAACGGAATAGCTAACTTAATTTTTGTTCAGGCAACATGAAGGAACTGTGTGGGACCCAACATTGCTTACAGTGTACATGTACATGTTCCTGCATCTCTGCAAACATCTTCATCTTCAGTACAACTCCTTTTGATCAAGATCGGCTTGAAATTCAGCTCATGTGACTGTACATTATATTTAGAACAGATCAACGTATTTCTGTATATAATACAATCATTAATAATGATAATATTAATAATAATAATAATGTCATAACATCTTATAATAATAATAATAATAATAATAATAATAATAATAATAATAATAATAATAATAATAATAATAATAATAATAATAATAATAATATTGTTGTTGTTATTAATAATAATATCAATAATAATACATATTATTATAGTTATTATTAATATTATTGTAAACTGAATATTTTATTCTAATAAATAATAAAAATGTACTATAAATATATATATATATATATATATATATATATATATATATATATATATATATATATATATATATATATATATATATATATATATATATATATATATATATATATATATATATATATATATATATATATATATATCTATATATATGTATAGATATATATCTCTCTATACATATGAATGTAATACAATAATAATAATTATTATAATTAATATTTATTTTAAATGTAAATAATATAATATATAATGTGTATATATGGTAACAAAATAATTTATTATATTTTTTTTATATCTACAACAATATTAAAGTAATACCATTCATCTTTTTGCACTTAACATGTTTTGGTTGTCTCTTATCCCTTGATAATTGACAAAAATAATTTAATAATAATAACTGTTATTGTTATTATAAAATTATTGTGACTAGACAAATTTAAGATTATGAAATGTACTTGATGTAGAAACATTTTTCTTATTAATGATTGTACACATTAGTGATTGTTTACATTAGTTATTCCTTCACTGTTTTTCGTATTTTTCGAGAAAAATTTTAATTCACGTAAATTAAATTAAATTAAATTAAATTAAATTAAATTAAATTAAATTAAATTAAATTAAATTAAATTAAAAGTTAATTTAATTTAATTCAGTTTTATTTTATTTTATTAAATTTTATTTATTTATTAATTTTTTTTTAAATCAATAAATTAAATGACCTAAAGTGCTTCTATTATCCTCATTTGTACATCCCTTTGGATAAAAAGATTCTGCAAATTGACTAAATGTAATTATAAATTTAACTTATGTCTGACCTTTTTTCTATACATTATAATTAAAACAGAAAACTCAAAAAGATCTTAAAGTGCTGCCGGTAACACATTATAACCAAACAAACTGATTTAAAAAAAAAAAACCTAGAGAAATCCTGAAGCTCAGAGTGTGGAGTCTCACCACTACAGAAGTGTTGGGGTCCGAATCCAGCCTCCCGATCAGAGTGTCTCCCTCTGTGTTGACGTAACCTTTCCTCTTGATCTCCTTCTGGTCAACCTGGTGACAGTCCACATACAGCGTCACCAGCTCCTTCTCCACGCCCACCATCACTTTGTGCCATTTGGTGTTGAAGAGCACGGAAAGGCCTGGGAAGGTGACGGTCTGCACATCTCCCTCCAGGGTGGTGAGGAAGAACTCCAGAGCCTGCTGATCCCCGTTAAGACGCATCCCGGCCTGCTTCAGTCCATCCTCGTCCACCACCTGCCACAGGTTCCACACCTTGTTCACGGTGTTCTTGATCATGCGGAAGGTGGTCATGAAGGAATACTCATCTGGGAAGCCTCTGGGAAAGTTCAGCCTAGTGGAAAACACATACAGTTCAATATGGTTGTATAAAGTGATGCAGTGGCTGTTTCTCATGCACACTCATACACTACGGCCAATTTAGATCATCCAATTCACCTATAGCGCATGTGTTTGGACTGTGGGGGAAACCCGAGGAAACCCACGCCAACATGGAGAGAACATCCAAACTCCACACAGAAATGCCAACTGACCCAGCAGGAATTTGAACCAGCGACCTTCTTGCTGTGAGGCGACATTGCTTACCACTGAGCTAAATGTTTGTGAATGTTTACTTTTACCGTCTCATTTAGGGAAACTCCTGAGAAAAATAAGTTATATCTCTGAACTTAATAATAATAGAATAAATAGATATATAAAAATGCTCATCTATTTAGCCGCAATGATTTCTGGGACGTTTAGAGTTCTGCGCTCAAGTCTGCATCGATGTATCCTCGATATCAAGAACACCTCAGGGATCTGTCACGGGTCCTCTGCTCTTGCGGTCTTGAGTATTGGAACTGAACTTTGATGGATGATGATGTTACACGAGAACACAAGGATGCAAGATCGCTTAGGAATACATTTGAGAAACAGTCAGTGACTACACACAACGCGGCACCGCGACATGCGATAAAAGGCTTTTCATGCTAAAACGAGTTTTTGTCCTAATCATCTGCGACATGCGAAACTTCTGTGCTAATTTTTTTTAATATTTCAGAGACGTCGCTTTAAAACAACAGCATGATCAACTATGACAATGATCACCTCCGGTACTTTTTAACTTTTTGATTTAGTGGCTAATTTGTATGAATTCGTCAATCTCATTCGTATAATTTAATTATTTTTTTTTTTTCATTTGCTCATCCCCAAGTGCCGGTTTGGTTTAGGGGTGGGGTTGGGTGCCACGCCTCCTTTTTAAAATCGAACATTTTCATACGACTGAACTACGAATTTGTACGAATTAGCCACTAACCTAACAAAACGTAAAATAGTTACATTTCCTCTCGAGATCAGGCTGGAAAAACATACCTTTACTTCAGACATGTTTGAAATCTGAATAAACAACACAATCTTATGGCATTTCGTAACTTTTTGATTTAGTGGCTAATTCGTATGAATTCGTTTGATCTAAATTGGTACAATTTAGTACGATTTGCTCAACAGCCAATGACCGTGGGGTTTAGGGGCGGGGTTGGGTGCCACGCCTCCTTTTTAAAATCGTACATTTTCGTATGACTGAACTCGAATACGAATACAAATTCGTACGAATTAGCCACTAAAGTGTCAAAATGCAAAATACTTACGTTTTCTCGTGAGATCAGGCTGGAATAAATTATATTTCTATCTATATTAGGTTTGTTGGGATAAGACAAGAGTTGGGTTGAGAGACAACTATTCAAAAAATTTTAACCTGAAGGTTCAAAAAAATCTAAACATTGAAAAAAATCGGCTTTAAAGTTGTACAAATTAAGTTCTAAGCAATGCATATATTAAATCAGAAATGAAGTTTTAATATAATTACGGAAGAAAAATTACAAATGATCATCATCAAACATAATCTTTACTCAAGATTATGATTTCAACACAGGCTCATTGTAAAAATGTACCCAGTATACATTTCTGGAGAGCGTGAATTATGTAGCCAGAGCTACGTCTGGCAGCATTTTGTCTTTAAAATGAACGCTACGCGGTGATATGATGCCGCTGACGACTTTCTTTTCACAGCTGAACGTTTACCACCACTGTTACAACACTGTAAAAACAATCCATCATTTTACGGTTTATTTCCAGCAGCTGGCGTGTCGGAGAAAAAACGTAAAATAACGGCTGTTAAATTACAGAAATATATCATAAAATAACGGTTATTAAATTACAGAATTTTTATAATATTTAATTTTTTTGATAAATTTCTGTAATTTAACATCCATTAATTTATGGTAAATTCCTTTAATTTAACGGCCGTTGTTTTACGTTTTTTTCCGGTACCCCAGCTGCTGGAAGTAAACTGTAAAATTACAAAAATTTTTTACAGTGCAGTTTGCCCAGTAGCTCGTCATGTGCGTCGGTGGAAGTTGACCACTACTACTACGGGTGAAGAATGGTTCCAAAAAGCAGGTAAAACAAAAGGCAAAAAATAAAATAAATAAATAAATAACAAGGTTAGAACATGGTACAATCTAAAAATGTGGTAAAAAAAAAATCAGGCGGCCGTGAAGGCTTTTCTTTTTTCTGGATTGCTTTTGAAAGCACTGACGGTTGGGTTTAAGGATGAGGGGGATTAGGTCTCAAATTGCAAGGAAAATCCATGCAAATTTTAATACTTGATGTATTAAAGCAATAACAAAGCTCCAATAAATGATTGGAATAGTGATTCTGTTTTATATAAAAAAAAACTATATTTTTGGTGCAATTTGGAGGATTCGTATATGTTTGGCAACACCTTGCGGAAGACCCTGGCAAATTTTATTACTTAATGTCAATTGGTGCTTTCAATTCAACCCGGGCTCATTGTGGAAACGTAGCCCCGCGGACGTTTCTGCGGACCACGATTTACGTCCCGGGAGGTACGTATTCGAGCGGTGTTTGTTTTCGCGGATCCGCGAGAGGTTGCTGTGCGCGCTTTTTCACGTCTCGGGCGCCTCTTGGGAGCGCGCGCCGTTCGCGCCCGCGCTGTTCTTGCACGAAAGGCCGCCGGATTGGCCAACCTGGCCGCCCTCCTCTTCCTCCTCCTCCTTCCCTAAACCCAAGTAACGGTTTTCAAAAGCAGTCCAGAAAGAAAAAAAAAAAAAGCAAAAGCCCTCGTCTTGGATTTCGACCGCGTTTTCAGATCCCGCCGCGTTCTCGCCCTTATTTTTCGGATTCTGTTTTCCATCTTACCTGATTTCCGGAACCGCTGTTCCCCTTCAATCCCGGTCGTCGTCCCCGCGGCCGGCTCCTCCTCCGGAACCCTCCGCTCCGCCGACGCAACGCTGTGAGCTAAGCGAACAAACTGGTTGCATCGGGAAAGCCCTCCACTCAGAAGCGAGCCGTCGGCCGGCGAGCACGAAGAGGAGGAGTGGAGCGGCGCCACACCGCCCCGCAGCGTTCGCTCGAAAAAACTAAACGTGCCTTATGTAGATGCGACCACGTAAATCGCGGTCTCCAGAAACGTCCGCGGGGCTACGTTTCCAGAATGAGCTTGGGTTGTTTCAATTTCAGTCAGTCAGTCAGTTGGTCAGTTGGTCAGTCGGTCAGTAACTCAATCGTTCAGTCAACAGCGGCCTCTGGTGGATTTACACAAGAACAGCAGGTATGAATGACACTCATGAGAGAAATTTGATATCTGAAAAAGTGTACACAGCGGCCTCTGCTAAATTCACAAAAACAAAAACTGCATTAAAAAAAAAAAACGTAGCTCCTGGGACGTATTTCGAGATCTCCAGAAATGTATATAGGGTTGCGTCTCAATAATGAGCATGGATTGCATGATTTTATTTTGTTAATTGCTTATTTTGACACATACAATGTTTACTGACTGTCGGAACATACAGTTCCCTTTAAAATTATAATGTCACTATAATGATAGCTTTGTTAACCAGAAGCACTGCAGGACATTTGTAATAATGTCAGAAGGCAAATCTATTTATAAAGAGGATCTATCATGGCTAAAAATAGTCATTCCCCTCCATTGGTGTCTGATCATCAAGGGAGAAGCCCTGCATTATAAACACTGAGCCGCTCGGCTTCAGGTCGCTCTCAGATAAAATTACGAGTCTTGAACAGATCAGAGATCAGTGCGCTTTCATCTTCAAAGCCTGTGTGTATTATGAGAGCTCTTTCAAAGGGCTTTCATTGCAGTGTGTTTAAGAAGCAGAGAGCAGCGGCTCCGCAACACAGTGAAGGAGAATCAATTTACCTGCTCTGTCTTTCTGGAGCTGACCTGAGTGCTGCTTAACTGCGGGAGATCCTCGCAAATCAAGACAGACATGTATCCAGCTATGAGGCGCAGACCTCGCTAAACTTTCAGGTTCAAAAATCCAATTTTATGTTTAGTGAATGAAAAAAGTTTCAAATCCTGTTGTAGACTGTGAATGGCATGAATGCATTTTCCGCTTTGCCCATGTTGCCAGATCTAGTCATTAGTTAGTGATTTAAATACTTAATGTATTAAAATGTAAATAAAGATCCAATAAACGGTTGAAACAGCAATTCTGTATCTGTATTATTTTTTTTAAAAAGACAAGATGTTAAACTTTTTTTGGGTGCATATTTGGAAGATTTAGATATATCTGGCAACACTCTGCAAGAGATCCTCGCAAATAAATCCTTCCAGCTTTTCCACGATGCCAGATCTAGTCATTACTATAAGCCATTTTAATACTTGATGTATTAAAACATTAATAAAGGTCTAATAAATGATTGAAATAGTTATTCTGTATCATATTAAAAAAATAAATAATTAAAGAAAAACAATATTAGATTTTTTGGTGCATTTTTGGTGGATTTAGCTATATCTGGCAAGACTATGTGAGAGATCCTAACAAATTTAATGCTTAAAGTATTAAAGCATTTAAGAAAGGTCCAATAAATGGTTGGAATAGCGATTCTGTATCATACTTTTAAAAATAACAAGATTTGAATTTACTTTGGTGCATATTTGGGGGATTTAGATATATCTGGCAACACTCTGCAGGAGATCCTCACAAATCAAGACAGACATGTATTCTTTTTACAAACTTTTTAGGTTCATATGTAAAATGTCAAGTTCTGTGAATGAAAGATTTTCAATTCAGGTTGTAGACTCAGTGAATGGTTCATAATGGTATGGGTGCATCTTCAGCTTTGCCATGTTGCCAGATCTAGTCATTACTATAAGCGAGTTTAATAATGTAATAAAGCATTAATAAAGGTCTAATAGTAGGCTGGAATAGCGAATCTGTCATATATTAAAAAAGACAAGGTTTCAACTTTGTTTGGTGCATATTTGGTGGATTTAGCTATTTCTGGCAACACTCTGCGGGAGATCCTAACAAA